AAAAAAAAAAAAAAAAAAAAAGGTTGGAATCCATCAGTGTTGTATTAGTCATCTTCTCCATCATCCTCTCCTTGCTCCCCTTCATCATCATCTTCATCTTCTTCACCTTCATCCTCATCCCCTTCTTCATCAATGTCTTCTAATCCTTCATCATTCATCATCATCATCATATGAAGAACCAAGTAGTACTACAGTGGATTTGGCCAAATATCTTTGATGACCTCTCCTAACTCATCTGCGCCAGCATCAGAATGGTCAGTAAACCAGGTAAAGAAGCTCTCTGGTTCTTTATGCTGTCGCTTTCTGCTGGCTTTATTCTGCGTTTGACTGGAGCTTTTCGTCAAATCCTTTCCCGATTTCCATTTGATTTCGGTGGACTTTGAGGATGGATCACCACTCTCATTCAGATAAAATTCTTTGGAGAGAACTTTATTTTCGAAGTAAGGATTTTCATCAAAATAAAAATCTATTCTGTAACGTGATTTTATATCTTCAAATTCTGTCACTTCAACTCTGGTCAAATAACGCAGCGCCTCCTCATCTTCTTCCCCAAGCAGTGCAGACACTTGTGGATGGCTGACAAATGTTGCCCAAAAATTTGGGATTTTGGAGATCAATTCTGACCTCTTCTGAAAAAATGGTTGGCGGAGTTTATTATATTTCTGTTCTACTTTCAAAATCTCCTCACTGGCTTGTTCAATTAGTCTGTCTATTTCATTTTGTACTTCATCAATATGTTCAATTGCTTCTTGCTGTTCTTTTTTGGGCGGAAGCGCCGGGGACGAGCGAGAAGGAGTGCGGCTCAGGAGGCCGGGCGGCGGAGGCGGCTGATGGGAGCGAGGCATCATCAGATTCTGGTTTCTGATAGTGTTGAAGGACCAAGGAATTTCACTAAATTAGTTTTCTTTAAAAACAGGACATTCTAACCATTGGCCATCTTTACATCTTTCTTCCTACTTTCCTAGGATCAGTAATTTTCAAAATTGGTTGCACATTAGAATTACTTGGGGAAACTTTTAAAGTTTTTGATGGCCAAGCTGCATTCAGTTGAATTAAATGAGAATTTTGTGGCTAGTGGTCAATCATCTGTATCTTTTAAAACTTTTTAAGTGATCCCAATATTCGGCCAAGAATACTACTTATGACAAAGGTGAACAGGAACTTTACAATCACTCTTCTTCCTTTCCTCTTCCTTATATCTTGAAACAAACATCAACCCTCTAATAAATAGTGAGATGCGACACTGCAAATAAACTACCAAGTTTCCAAAAGTAAAAATGTGGCCCAGACCACTGGTGGTGGAAGTCCAATACCTGGAAAACACTTGGTTGCATAACTTTTAAGAATAATGGATTTTAAAAGTGAACACCTCAGCCATTAAAAAAAAAAAAAAACCTTTACAAACTTTTCAATAGTTTTGTTTCAAATTAATTAAACCATTATCAGCATATGGAAGACTTACAATTTGCAAATTCCTTTTCCTTCCTGCTCCTTTTTGACTCCTTCTGTTCACACATATTCTTGAGGTGAGAGAGATTAATTTACAATTCTTCATAAATCTTCTCTCAGTTATTATTTAGGGATTTGATTGCAGTTTTTGAATATTTATTTGGTTTTAATGATGCAAAACAAAATAAGATAAAGGGAGTCTTTAGAAATGGTAACAACATCTTCTGGAACATTTTTAAAGCAAGAAATTATTGTGCATTCTTAATACAAATTATTCATCCTGTTCTTCTTTTTTATTTTTCATCTAAAGTGGCATATTTATGAGATCCTTCTTCCAGGATAACTTGACATTAATATCAATGTCCCAACTCATTTTTTAAAGAGAAGATAAAATGCTATCAACTCATGATGAGGCTGTTTGTTTAAAGCAAAGGCTACCGTTAGCACATGTTTTATTCCACCTCTGTCCTCCCCACAATTTATCTTGGGTATTATTTTTGTATCTCTGAGAAGTAAGAGCTGATTGTCAACTTAAGACAGAATGATTTTGTTTTGCTCTGATATGGTTGAGTTCAAGCTAATGCACAATCACCTGAGTTTCTAACTAAAAATAGCATTTATTTTTCTTTTCAGAATAAGTATATTTAAGAATATTCTTCAATAGTAGCATTGATTATAGTTTACAAGAGGCTATTAAAAAAGCAACGGTACTAAATATAGATATACATTATACATAGATAGTTATTTATTTCATAAGCATCTATTAAGCATTGACATTATTCTAGTCACTTCTACTTCCTACTAGAAATAGCAAACCTCTAGTTTGAAATGACATTCTCTGCCCAAGTTTACAAAACAGTATAGTATACTGTTTACACTGCCATGAAGAAAGGGCTTTCTTATAATATTATCTGTATAGAATGAATTTTATGTATAATAATGTCTTATTTTGTTTTTACATTATAAAATACTTAAAAATGGTGAAGAAGTTCCACATATAACTCCATTTTACATGTATAGGAAACTTTCACCAACATTTTAAAATATGATAAAATGTTATTTTTTTAAATCATAAAAAAATTCTGTATTTTTCAGGATTCTGGATGGTAGAATCTTAATAAAATACCACTCTGGAATTTTTTTCAGTGGCAGCAACATTGTTTCAATACAAAGGCAATTTTTCCCCCCATTATAAGGTATCAGTGAGATAGAATGAGAAAACAGCACAATTTTGTTTTCTGAAGCAGTCTGTGATCACAAGTGTTTTACAGCAGTGATTCAGAAGAAAATTCATAGCAGCCACTACAGACACTCTTTATAGCGATATCAGGTCCTTTTGTTCTGCTAATGATGTTTACTGAAAAAATTATTATTGAGAAGAGATGAGGAGAAAAGGGCCAGCAGTCAGGAAACACTTCCTGTTAATACCGTATTACTTGATCATAAGTAGCTCAGGGAATTTTGTATCCTAGTGCAGAATCTAAGTTGGCATGTTCCTCACTTGAAAGAGGTCAGTCTTTGTTGCCAAACAGGAACAATCAGGTCTGGCTTTTTCTAGTGTTGGAAAGACCTTCTGCAGGCTTCAATGACAACTGTGCATCACACAATGTGACCTACAAAGTTGATCAAGGGGTCTTCTGATGAGTCAAGCCACACACATGCTGCTGGCTGCCATATAGTCTATGTGCTAAGGTGTCAAACTTTTTTGGGTTAGAATCTGATAGCATGTCATTCTGTGAAAGATCTGGAAATGTACACTGACTATAGTACCATCATGAAACTTCCCATCAGCTACTAATCATCCAACAGCAACAGAAAACATGCAGTGAATTACACACCATGCTCATTTAAAGTTCTTTCCAAATCCTCTGAGGTTGCTACTAAAAGAAGCCCATTTTATAGATAAGAAGACTGAGGCAGAGAAAGGTCTTGGTTATGTTAGAATTGCTTATGTTATCCAGCTAATTAATGGGAGAACAGCAAATCAAACTTAAGCAGGCCGATCCCAGTGAGTGCACAGTTAACACTATTCAGTGCTGCTTATCATACAAAATACGGCTAAAATCAACTCACTTCAAATCTAAAAGTAAAGTACAATTATTACATCTAGTAGTTGAGTATAAGGATAATAGTCAAATAAAAGTAGTTGGAAGGATGTAAGAAAGAGAAAGAGAATAAATTAATAACCACATTGTATCCTTAGGGAAAATAACTTAAACTTTAGAGTGTCTTTAATCCTAGAATCTTAGAAGAAAGATAATACACAACTTTGCAAAAAGTATCATCTTTACAGAACTATAAAAAGATGAAGTATGTCACAAATGACAGAACATTACAGCTCCAAAAGTTCCAAGATTATCTATCTACCTATTTATCTATCTATCTTTCTCATCTACTTCTCTAAAAGTTAGTGCATCTCAATGTGGATGAGGAAAAGGGCTTGGACACAGAATGAGATTTTGGCTATAGTGGAACTTAATGTAACAAAACAAAACAAACCTTCACTGTTTTTCCTCCCGGTATGCTCAGGAATTTCTTACTCTATTACAAGAACTTTTTTATTTGGTGAAAGGAGGTCAGACCCTAGAATTGCCCTTGCTTCAGCTTTCTCACCTTTTATTAGAGCTACGTAAGAAATTTTACCTCCTTAGGATTACCCATTTGTTAAGTAAAGTTGAAGGACTACTGTATTTTTTTTTTACAGAATGCCTTGAAAATTGATACACTTTGAGACTTTTAAAATAAAAGAAGAGAAAACTCTTAAGAGTAACATGATTATTCAGAGATTTTAGAATGATTTAAAGTTAGGAAACCATTTACAAATTTTCAAGCATTGGGTTTTTATTTGTTTGTGCTATTTTTGACATTGCTCAGTTTATGGCAGAATAGAAATGGATGTTACAAACTATTTCCCAACTTTTCTGTGTGAATTAACCTTTGGAAGGCGTCATTCTTAGACTTTCTCTGGGATCTCTTTCTGCTTCTTCAGGGCATTTGCACCATGTGTTCAAGCAGCATTTTCCGACAGAAATACAAGTCATTTCTTCCAAAGTTTAGGACTGGTTTATTGTCTTCTATGTCTAATTCCATGTTTATTCCTACTACATTGCTTGGGGCTTTTAAGAAAGCCACAATGTAACTTTCTTTCCTTCCTCCCATTCTGAAGAGCAATACTCCTGGTAAAATTTGCTACAGATTGTATCCCCCATCTGTGTGAAAGAAAAACAGTTACACACAACTCAGGCCCCTGTGGGTAATAAATGAAAGTAAAAGTCAAGGACAGAGGGAAAGATAAGCCTTGTAGAAGATGCCTACAGGTTTCCTGAGTCCTGTCTGCACAATCAGAATACATGTTGAGTAAAGAGAGATAACTTGGGTCAGGCTATTCTAGGTTGGAAAGTATTAATGGAAGGATATCTGAGAGGTGTGGGGAACATGGATTGATACAGAACATTGTCTTGATAAAATTAGAAAACAAAAATGGTAAGTCTTATAATTGTTTTATTTATTCCTTGTTCTTTTACCTATTACTTTCAGTTTACCACCAGCTATATTTTCACTGAATCTACCCACACCTAAATGTATCACGTCATAAAAACCTATGTACATGTTGTTATTCTAATCTGCTATGATTCTGAGTTTAATTTTTTTTCTTGAAGCTTTCTGTTATAACTACCTTCCTCTACTACAATTTTGCTATTTGTATGTAGTCATTTAAGTAATTCATTAGTCTGCAAGTTTATACTTTTTCAAGTGCCTGCTCCCTGTCTTTCTCCTCTTTCTTTTTCCCTAATCCTTTTTCTTCTCTCCCCTTTTATTTTCCCCCCTTTATTTCCTGTGTTACCATCTACTCCTCTCCTCCTTTTCATTCCCCTCCTTATCTTTCTCTTTCTTCTTCTTTCTTTTTTTCATCAATATCCTCTTGAATGAATGGATTAAAGATGATGTTCATATGTGTCTGAATTCTTGTATAAATCTTTTGTATTATATTCATCACATAAATTGTAACTATTAAAAATAGTGTTTCTAGCTTTACAAAACTCAATAGTATTTTTTGTTGAAATATATAATCTATGGAAATCATAATTGTATACCTCATTTAAATAACATTATTGAAAAATAACATCTTGATTATTTTGTTTTGTGTCCTCTATAAATCCTATTTGATTGGAGTATGAGAAGACACAAATCAGGCTAAGACAATGCAGTCTATTAGTTGAAAGCCAGGACTTGGTAGTCAGGAAGATCACGGTGTCCTTGGTTTTGTACAGCCTGTGTGAACTTTGGTGAGTTGTTTGACTTCTCTCATCCCCTAGTTCTTCCAGTGCAAAGATAATCATAATTCCTACTTGGTAAGATTACTTTGAGTTTTGATCGATGTGAACAAAATTGCTTC